GCGTCTCTTCCAGTACAAAGACTTCAGATGAGCTCCAGCCGTATGACTGGCACTGGCGCCACCCGCTTTGTTCGCTTCCGTCGCGGCCTCTGCTGACGTCCTCCGAGCAGGACCAACCTCAGCTGCGGAGAGATCAGCGCCAGCCCCACCGTGTCCATCAGACCGGCCTGACCGATCATCAGCACCCGGATCAGCAGCGCGCGCGTCACGCCAGCCGTCAGCGCTGAGCCCGGCGCCCACAGCAGCACCAGCAGCTGCTCGCACAGCGTCAGCAGCGCGAACCGGCGCGCCGAGAGCACGTTGCGGTGGCGCGGCGGCGCCGGCGGCAGCGTGGCGTCGGCGTAGAGGAGCAGCGTGTTGGCCGCCGTGGAGATGAGCAGCAGAATACCCACAGCGGTATTGTTGGAATTCGGTCGCTTAAGCACCGGCAGGCCGGAACAGACGAATTAGCTTATGCCAGGCTGTAGGAGGGATACATAGATGCCAACAGACGCCACGAACAACACTCCGATGATGACATACACGAGTCTGTTGGTGAGCCTCCAGGCATGTCTCGGCGCCCAGCGGGCCACAGCCAGCAGCAGCAGGCGACTCAGACCCAGCCAGCAGGTCAGGTAGGTGATTGTAAACGCCAGCACGTTAGTTAGGCCATCGAAGAAGCCACAGAGCACCAGGTGCAAACGAGTCAACCGCTGCAGCAGCGGCATCACGATGAAGAGCTCTGTGGCGAGGTTGGCCTGCAGCACATATGAGCGCAGCAGCAGCAGGCGGTTGAAGACGGTGGGCCGGGCGCGACAGCGACGCATCGCACGCTGGAAGAACACGCTGGCCACGACGCTGGAGAGGATGATGGCAATGACGAGCAGCGCCAGAACGTGCTGGCCCGGGGAGGGTGAACGCGCTGAGGACGGCACGCCTACCGTGGGGGTCGCTGTGAGGGAGGAAGTTTCTAGACTTGGGGTAGTTGATGTAAGGGATGCATCCTCTGGGCCCGGAGAAGTCAATGTGAGGGATAGGTTCTCTGGGCCCGGAGAAGTCAATGTTAGGGATAGGTTCTCTGGGCCCGGAGAAGTCGATGTGAGGGATAGGTTCTCTGGGCCCGGAGAAGTCGATGTGAGGGATAGGTTCTCTGGGCCCGGAGAAGTCGATGTGAGGGATAGGTTCTCTGGGCCCGGATAAGTCGATGTGAGGGATAGGTTCTCTGGGCCCGGAGAAGTCGATGTGAGGGATAGGTTCTCTGGGCTCGAAGAAGTCGATGGGAGTGATAGGTTCTCTGGGCTCGACGAAGTCGGTAGGAGGGGGATGGTCTCCATTGCTGCAGCAGAGGCTTTCATGCTTGAGTTAGGCGATGAGAGAGTGAAAATCTTTTGGGTGTGAGCGGCGGCGTGCAGAAAGGGGATACTCTTTTCCGTAGACATTGCGGGCAGTCACAGAATGCTCTTATCGGCGTACACAGAGATCGAGTCTCCATAAAACTGATTGTTAGTGGTCATTTTAACAACAGTTCTGTGGCGAAGCGCTCTGTATTCACTCTGGTACCGACTATCCACTCACCGCCAAGTCCTCACACTGACCGAAACTGACACAGTCAGTGCCACGGGTCAGTTATTTCGGACACCGTGACCCCGTGACCCCGTGACCGAGCGGTAGGCACACGGTGAGTCTCCGCCCGCACACAGCCGCTATTTGAGTTCGGAAGTGGCCAAAATGCGATAACTCGTTAACCAGTTGACATTTTGCCAAGCAATTTTTATTGTATGTGAAGTCAACCGTAAGGTCACATATGGGAAGGTATGAGCATCCATACTCATACATCCTTGCCGTAAAAAATATTTTTGCTTGTAATCCGCGGATGACGGGTATATCCCATAACGTGGGTGACTCGGGAGGGGATTCTGCATAGCTTCCCTGCTGTCTTCGAAACTACTCGTTCAATACTAAAAGTTCAAACGGCTTCTGATAGGAATAGCTGACAAACGAAACCTAACTTTGTCACAAAAGGTCATGGAAAGGTCATGGGTCACACAAGGTCATGGAAAAGGTCATGGAAGGAAATGTAAACATTTTTAAGGTCATGCGACACATCTTTAATGATCCATTTCGGCAAAAGCATCTAAAAATGATGTCATCTGGGTCGTCCGATTCGAAACTATTTCCATTCGACAAATGAAGGTCAGGTCACGGCGAGGTCAGAAAGGCCAAATTTTGAAGTTGAACATTCTCAACAAAAAAGATGTGCATCGGATGCAATTTGAGCTCTGGAACACGATGATGCTATTCGTTTTGGTTTTTGATGTCAAGAACGTACTGAAATTGCCTTTGCAATATCGAAAATTGTGATTAACTGACTACGGTAAAATGCAAAAGCCGATAACATTGCCATTTCTGAAGATATCTGGCTGAAACTTTCCCAAAGCAATGCAAATGTTACATACAAAAGCCAATAAGGTTCATTCTGGTCGATGGCTGCTCCCCAAAACTCTTAATGTTATCAACCATATCGGACATTCTTACGATGTTCTGTTGGCTGGATGTCTTTTTGCTTTATTGAATTTGATCAGACTACATTCAGTTAAGACGACGTATATTTATTGGTCACCAGAAAGTATGCCCACAAGTCAATCGACAATCGACAACCAACAAATGCAATCGACACGAGCGTCGAGCACCCCTCAGCACAAGCAACTGCCGGGAGCGATTAGACGGACCGCGCTCCTCTCTCGCAGCTGATTGGTCAGCTGCCGAACCGCACGGACGTCAGCTGCACGGCCGCCGCCCGGCCGACCTGACCGGGGTCGGCCGGGCGGCGACCTAGCGTCACTAAAACTGCAATAACTTTTGCCGGCAGTGTGATGCCGACCTAATTTTTTCAGCAAATGAATAACAATTGTACGGTATATGTTATGGACGTTGTCTCGATGTGAAGCACGCTGTGCGTTTTTTGGTAGGCCTATGTAAATATTGAAATCCTCAAGCCCTTCTGCTTTGTGCAAGTGTGCAACAATTAGCTTACAATAACTGAGTGGGAAGTTTTTTAGATGCACTTTTGTTACCAATGGATTCCGCACATTTTCCCCTTTCAGCTGATATCTTACTTACGCATGTTCAAGCAAAGAATATGACAGGAGACTCGTCAACATTTACATGAAAATCGCAGCACAAGTTCGGCCTCACGGAGCAAAACAAAACGGTGTAGGTACTTTGGGAGCCCACCAATATGTGCCAGAATGAGTAATATTTTTTTCTGGATGATATTTTATACAGTCTGATCAATTTACGACCAGAAAATGTGAGAAAATCACACTTTAAAATTTGTCGAAAATTAGGGTATTGGCCACTTCTGAACCCAGATAGCGGCTGTGTGGCCCGGTGCGCTGGACCTAGATGACTCGTTCTACCCGCACTAATGCCCAGTGTACACTGATCGGAGGAGACCGCTGTGATCTCTCGGTGAGTAAGATCGTCGGTGCATCCGTCAGTTATCGTTGGTTGCCTGTCTTGTAATTTCTCAGATTTTTAACTATTGCTTACCAGTCATTCGCCAAAAGTTAATTCGGTAAGGTATTCGTTTGTTCTGGTTCTTACCTTCTAAAAAAGCTTAACGGCTCAGCAGTTAGGTACAATTAAATAATATTGAATGGGCAGAAACGAGAACTATGTAAGTCGCAATCCCCTAAACAATTGCACTGGAATCAATGAAGCTAAAAAAAAACATCGACGTTAAAGACGTTAAGACAAAGAACGTTAAATACGTTGTGTCAATTCAAAGAATCACATCCCAGGAGCTATGAAATGGCTGCCCAGTGCCCAAGTTCGTGACACACAATCTGCCACGCATAACGAAGGAATGCTGTTAGCCGGTGGAGCATAAATTAACGTGTGTAATTTACGCTTTACATATTGATAACAGCTTCAATACATAATCCTAAAAATTGCAGGAGCACGTACCAAAGTCCTGCATAGATCTAAAATATCCAACAGCATGAACGAAATGCGCATATCCACGCGATCAAAGCCAATTTTCAGAAACATAACGGCCTTCAATTCACCCGAACCACTCCGTACATGACCTTTGCACCGCCATTACTCCAACTAAACCCACTCAAACACTCAAACGGAACCGCTGTTGGGCCGAGGGGTCAAAGGTACTACACGGTCACGGTACCGATTATTTACTGTGACTGTGACCCTCCCTACCGGCCTGTGTGGTCACCGGAACATGCCCCGTGGCCACGAGTTGGGGTTGGGGTTGGGGTGAGGGTGGGGGTCAGGGGGAAGGGGCGTGTTGTGACCGTAGTTAGGCAGAGACCCAGCTGTGTATACCGGTCACTGGGCGAGCACCGGCAGCATTCTCCGTGTCAGTGGCTACTCCCCGTGTCACTGTGTTTGTGTCCGTGTTTGCTGAATGTCACTGTGATTGTGTCTTTGCCAGTCGAATGCCATTGCTTCTGTCACTGTTATCGCAATGTAAATGTGTCTGTATTGGTGGCAGGCAGCTGCACATAATGGTTTTAGTAAAGTTTGCGTGGTTGGCACGAGTGTGCCAGTGTTGTTTTTGTGTCAATTGCCATGCACCGTCTTTTTCTATATCCGAATGTGTCTACTGTCTAGGATGTCAGCTCAAAGCTAATATCGGTATCATTGCCAGTATTAGCTTCGGTGCCGTTTTTTTGCGAGCGTTCATATAATAATGCGACGTCAACAGGTCTGATGCAAATCCGACAGGTCTGTGTCAAAAACCGTTCATAGCGCATCTGTGTCAGTACCGGTGTCTTAGTGTCGCTACTCGCTATCAGTGTCTGTCAGAATCAGCGTCAATGTTTCTGCCAGCGTATAGCTCAGTCTTGCGGCGCCACACAGCTTCTCCGATCGCATCCGTGTATGCCTATTCCCGCGTACACCACGCGCGCGTTTGTGTGCTGTTTGGTCCGAGGGTAACCACGGAGTTCTGGTTCATCAATACTGAGCCCGGTGGTCCGCCGAACGGCGGCAGGGCCTCCACTGGGTCGGCGACGGGCCTAGAAGGCGGCCGGCGTAAGAAAGGCAGGACGGTAGCACAGACGAACAGCATAACAACAAACAGGGTACAGGAGTAGTGGAGGAAGGGGTAAAACAGTGGTTGGGTGAGAAAAGGAGACTGAAAACAGGAAAGGTGAGTTACTGGTGTCTGTGTTTAAATAAAGTTTCTGAATTTCTTACTGAAATGAAGTTGGCTTGCATCTTTTGCAACATTCTAGATGAGAAGACGACACATTAAAAGGATTTAACTACATTAACTCAGCTTACGAAATGCGAGATTCGAAGGTGGCTAAGTATCACATTTATTGCAAAGTATCATCTTGCTCATGCTTGTGTCTCCACGCGGGTATAGATGGCAGGGGTCACATTTACGAGTAAGAATACTTGTAAGGGCAATTTTAGAGGCAAGAATAGTGCTGCCAATGATTACAGTAATTACAACCAATGATTCAGATTAATATCCTTTTACCAGAAACTAAGACATTTTAACCTTTCTAAATTTACTCAAATGGCAGCTTTTGTTCTCATAAAACTCGTTCACTATGTTCGATTAAAAACATTTTCATTTTTCAGCTCGCCTAAAATCTCCAACGTAAGAATTACAACTCACGGAGTGTACCTATACAGTAGGTATGCACGATAACAATGCACAGCGCGACAATGAATGACTGTGCAGTGCGCAACATGCAACTTTAACCCTCGCCCTGGCAGGGGGGGGGTCGATGCGACCCCCCCCCTAAGGTTTTTCGAAGATAGCGTAAAAACGGCGGCGCGCAGCGCCGCCAAATTTGGAACAGCTTATGGGGCAACCTTTTTACATATGACCTGAAAATTTCAGGTCCGGGTGACCTTGGGTCAGGTCACCAGGTCAGAAAAGCCGGTACAAGGTCATGATCAAATTTCAATTTTCTTTTTGCACCTGTCCAGCTCACAGTTTTGGACTGATTTCCTTCAAACTTTCAGGATGTGCTAAGTTCACCGAGTTGTATAACATATAGTTCGTTTTTTTAGGTCACTGACCTGAGGTCAGTTAGAGGTCATTACGTCGTAACGTTAAGCCTATGGGAAAATACTAAATTCGGAAAATACTGGAGATATCCGCTTCGTTCTATCACGTTTGTGCTTTGAAACCACAGTACTTAACAGCAGGTCACTTGGTGCTTCTTTGTTTGGTGTACTTATCCATGGGTCAGGTCAAATGAGGTCAACTGAGGTCAAATGACGTTTTTGCCAATAACTTGGCACATAATGACGCTAGAGCTTAAATAATGGTATTATTGTGTTCCTGGTGATCAGCCGAATCGAATGATATGCAATATGATGCAATTTGGTTAACTTTAACTTAATTCATTAATTTAAGTATACTTAAAATTTAAGAAAAACTTTAAGTACACTTAAGCAAGCTAATAAGTATATCATTCGACGCGCCTTGACGTGCTGAGTTCACTGGTGCTTTTCTTTTTGCTCTATCTTAAATAGATCAAAAGTTATAAGCGAAAAACTTTTGACCTGTTTTTAGCGAAATTTTTACATTTATACCCCCCAAAACCCCCCTAAATATTGACCTAGAGCAACCAAATTTGCACAGGGGCAAGAACTCCAGGGGGCCCACCTACCTACCAAATTCGGTGTTTCTAGGTGCCATAGGAGCCAATCGCGAGGGGGGGTCGCATCGACCCCCCCCCCTGCCAGGCCGTGTTATGAAAAATGCCCTGCCAGGGCGAGGGTTAAACTTGCATGCTGGTTAACATGCTCATTTGCATAAATAGCAACAAAGCCAATTTATTTTGAATTACGTGCACAAAAAAGCGATGAGCACGATGCAAAGGCCTATATAATCAGGGAGCACTTTCAGAAACTGTAATGACGACTGCCGTCTTCGAGTTCGGTTGAGTCAAAATGCAATTCCGTTAGTTGGGAAAAGTTTTGCTGTTGCTGTCTTTCACCAATTTGATCGGGTCGATCCATATCGTCTTCATGTTCGGCAGCATTATAATGTTTACGGCTACAATTACGCTACAATAAAAATGTTCTGGCCCGAAAACCTTCATTTTATTCACACAAAAAATATGTGTTTGAGCAAGGTTATAACAGAATGTTCTCAGTGCAGCTAATAAAAAATTACGGATACCTGTTAAAAGTTCAACGCTTTATCCGTGTAACTTGTACTTTGTAGGTATAAAAATCTATCACACCAATTTCTTCTATGCATTTGGATCGGCGCTATTTCGGTATTTTAGTCAAGACCCGACATAACACCAGAAAATGATCGCTACGTTGGGCCGGATGTGTCTAAATATATGAAGGGACGTTAATTAGAAATATGTATTACACAAATGTAGACACGTGCTGATCCCAGTGAAAAAGCAGGAAAAAATATCAACCCTTTCCCAGCCCGCTGACAGTCACGGCGTGTTCTCAGGATCTGCTAACCATCATTTCACCATGATCAGCCTGGTTGGCTCAAGACGGAAGCGTGAGCAGCAGCGTCGCGAGCAGCAGCAGCGAGAACAGGAGAGCGAGAGCAGCTCCGGCAGCAGCGAGAGCGAGAGTGAGAGCGAGGAGTCACAGGACGAGGAGGGCCAGAAAAAGTACCACAACATCTGCAAGGATAAGGTAACGTCACGCGTGTGCTTCTATAACGGGGGAAAAAAAAACGAAATCGGATGCACATAGCCGCATCCAGAAAGTTGGTCTTGGACGCAGCGGGGAGGCATTCCTCATAAAAACTTCTCCGAAAAAAATGCACTAGATAATGCAGAATATATGCAGATTGCAGGCATTCTGTTGTATTGGTGTCGTGATCTAAGCCATTAATGTCAAGTTATCAAACAGCCAGGCCCAGGACAAACTTGACAAATCAGCTCATCATTTTTCAGGCGAGCACCAAGGAACAGAAGGAGAAGAAATAAGCTCAGGATGCGCGAAATGAAGACAGCTCAGAAGAGTCGGACGACTAATTCGGCCGCCTCTCCATCGGGAGTGGGATGCCTTGTTTTCTTCTCTACAGAAGCGACTCCATTCGGATGAAACAATTTGTCTGCACTAACATCAAAAGGTGCCGAGCGCTGCGCTGTGAATGAAATATATGGAGATGATATGACAAACTTCTTTTTTGCTGGAATGGTTATGGCACAGCTAGCTCGGGCACGGGCGGTCACAAACAACCTAAAACCTAACGGTCATCAACAAATCACGTCTCACGAAGTTCATCAACATGCAGCAACCAAAATGTTGATGAAGTAGTTAGTCGTGAATCTACCCTATTTTCGACAAAGTCGATCTTATCAAACCTCCTCTTCCCTCCAAATATCCTTCCAATAGTGACAACGCTATTTCCGTGAGCGACATGCGAGATTTCTGTGGGAATCGTGCATCACACGCCATTTTCGGTAAGAGGTAGAACGCCATTTTCGTGGGAGCCACCCATCTGTCATGATTGTCAATCGTGCAGCGGGGACGCGGGGCTGGGGGGGGGGGGCGCAGGTCTGGGACGGTGGACTGTGCCGATGATTTTGAGATTGCGTAGTTTCTCCTAAGCGGGTGAGAGCAAAGGGCAGAGGATGGAGCCTCCATTAGCTGCTCTGCTGGTGGTTTTAGCCAGCGTCTCTCTAGCAGGTGAGGTCTCTGATGTTCAGATACGGAAGTAGCTGTCGATGAAATAACTCTACTACGAGATAACAGTGACTGAGTGACAGTATAGGGAGAAAGGCTTAACTGTTTCATAACTGCTCATTTTGGATCATAGCAATAACTTTTATATTCTCTTTATATTTCATATAAGCTGTGTGATATTTTAGCATTTTTAATGATTCGATGCTATCAGCCACGGACGTTGTTTCACTGCAACTTCAAAATGTATCATAGTGCAGTTTCAACGTCTCTAGACTAGGCAGTTTCAATGAATGAAACAGGCAACATAGCTAACGTGGTAGACCATAGATATAGACGACATCTACTGATGCCACTGGCACTGACCTCCACCGCCACATCAGCTGACGTGTGCTACGATGACGTTGGCTGTTTCACCACCGACTACCCGTGGAGTGACGTCAGAAGACCGTTCCCGAACCTACCCCAGCCGCCCGAGGAGATACCCACCAATTTCTATTTGTATACGAGGTGAGGAGACAGGTCTATCTTTTATTCTATATCGACAGTCAAAACGGTAGAAGCACATAATGATAATCAAAATTGAGACCGTTAACGACACCTAACAAGTAACAAGATATAGGCTGTCAGAAAGAATAACCAGAATGATCAATGAGAAAGAATGATCAAATGATAATATTATGTGTATGACCTTTCTAAACAAAAGCTACCTACCTTATTCATTTCACCAACATTTAGAACAAACGTATATACCTATAGTCTAGTCTCATTTCCCTCGCAAAAAAAAACACACTTCCAAGTTCCAACTAATAAAAAAAACACCGTCTGCTTCTGAAGCACCGTTCCCGAGAGGACGGCCATTTTCTACAACGGCACCACATTCGGCGACTTCTCCGCACAGCGGGAGAGGACGGCGTTCATCATTCACGGCTTTCAGGGCAGCGGAGACGCCTACTGGATGATAGACATCAAGGACCTGCTCCTCCAGCAGGTCAGGGAACATGGCAGGGATGGGACAGGCTCGTATTCCTGTCGGTGCTGGCAAAACATAAAACACGGTGCTACATTCGGACTCGGGAAGACAGATTTTAGATTCAGGAGTTAGAATTTGTCTTATGTCACGATAGGTTCCAGCGTTTCTTTTTTTCCAAATAACGGAGTAGCAGGCCACTTTATTTTTGTTTATGCAAATTAAAATTGGAACTTGGCAGATATCATTTCCTTTTTCAGTACGATTACAACATCATCCTGGTCGATTGGGCAGTCGGCTCCAGCATTCCCTACATTCAAGCCGCTGCCAACGCTCAGCTGGTGGGGCGGCAGGTGGCGCTGCTAGTCCACGCTCTATGCGATATAGGTGGCGCTGTGGCGGGCGATTTCCACCTGATATCGCACAGTCTGGGGTCTCAGGTGGCCGGTTACGCCGGGGCCAGAATACCCGGTCTGGCCAGGATCACAGGTCAGTTGGCGGGTCATCTCCTAGAAAAAAAAACTTAAAACTAACACCGTGACACCTGAAAAGATTACTGGAAATATCTCTTGAAACGTCACGAGCTTCTAACGTGACTCGTGACCCGTGACGATAAACGGGAACACGACATACCTACATATATCGTTTCTGGGACATTTAGGGTCATGACCCCCTCCGCAAAGGCTTCAATTCTCCAGGCGTCATGATCTGCGATATAGGGAGAAAGTCACGCCTACTCGTACATCTGTGCAAGTCCCAAAGGCCGTTTTTTTTTAACGAAACAATCGTTAGCACATATAGGTACGGAATCCTTATCGTTCAGCACCTGTTGCCCGAACACATTATCCCAGCGTGTTTCCAACCGATGCCGGCCTTCATAGCGACAGCATTGAGCTGAAAAATATGTTTGTAATAGTGACAAAATGAAATATGTATAGACTATAGGATAATAGGTCATTAATAGACTATAGGATAATAGGTTGTCGTGTGTGACAAATATAAAGACACCTACAAAAAAATAGGTCATTAATGTGAGCTCTAAAGAGCACCACGAGTACGCTGACTAAATGCTTAACTCTAGCGTGGATCACAATTAGGTAGCTGGTAATCATGATTTCTAAACTCCTCCCATCTCTTAGTGGCCCATCAATGTTATAGCAACAAGAAACATCTCAAGGACCTGCTCTCAATAATAAAGGGGAGCCCTAAAAAATCGATCCTCACTCTAGGGCTCCAACACTAGGGACTAACCGGCAACTAGCAACACTTAACCCGCGCCCCGTTGGGGTGTGCCGAGCAACGCGCCCTGCTGGGGGGCGGGGGCAATTTGCCCCCCCCCCCTAAGATCTCGAGAACCACGCAACATAGCGACAAGCGGCAAACGGTGTTGGATAGCCCCAACAGGGAATTACCTTGTGACCCAATTTCATTGGCCTAGGTCAAACCGATGACGTCACAGGTCAGGTCAAATGTCGAAATTTCACCGTTTACGGGCATTTCAAGAAATGCGTTGTAAAATCGAGTAAAATGCATTTCATTGAAAATCATTGATGGGGAAATGCTCGTCAAACACATATTTTACTATTTGAGGTCACTGATACCAGGTCAGGTCACAGAGGTCAGGTCACTGAGGGTCACAATATGAAAATATCATGTGATGCATGTTTTATGGTCCATTTTATATGCCAAATACGATTATGTGGGTCAGGCAGTCATTGGGGTCAGTTAAGATTATGTTCTGGTGAAGGTCAGGTCAAGGTCAGATCAAGGTCAGGTCAAATTAGGTCAAATTTCAAAGTTGATAGTTTTGCATTAAATGGGTATCGATTCGATGCAGCTCGTCACGGGGAGTTCAATGGTGGTCTTTGTTTTGCGCTACGTGGTCTAGAATTGCTAAAAGTGAGTTCAAAAATTTGACGTCATCAATGTTGAACAGTTTTTTGCTATAACTTGGCCAAAAAAGGAGGTATCGATCTAAAATTTGGTATGTATATAGAAAAGCGCAGAGACTATCACATATATTCAGTTTTTTTCTCAATTCGCGAAAAATGGGTTTTTGCGTTTTTCTAGAAAAAAAAACCATTTTTTGAATTTTTGGGGCCAAAATCCAAAAATTTTGAAAATCCGAGATTGCAGTTTTGTAGCACCGCCTTTCGTCTACATAATCAAATAAAGAACTTTGAAATTGCTTGGTAACTGTAGCTTTTGTAAGCGCTTCAAGATTTCATGTTTTTTGCTCATTTTTGCTCGAACATGACCTCAGTTTGACGTCAATAACTCCTGACCTAAGGTGACCTAAGACTTGAAATTTTGTGTGAAGGTGTCCAATTGATGCCCGGGAAGGTACTTATAATTTGGCGGCGCTGCGCCCGTTTTTTAGCTATTCAGGAAAACCACAGTGGGCCAAATTGGCCCCCAGCGGGGCGAGGGTTAACACTCACCATGTATCCTAACCCACAGAACCACTTAGCATCTATCACTTCTCATGCGATTTCGATCTCACCCACAGGATTGGACCCGGGCCAGCCGTATTTCGAGGGCACACAGCCGGAGGTTCATCTGGATTCCACTGATGCTGAGTTTGTCGACATTATTCACACCGACGGAAGGGATCTACTGTATGTCGGCTTCGGGTTCCAAGGGGTAGGTACGGTGTTATAAAGGTGCGAAAAATGCTAACATGAGTAATGTATTCTGCATAGCACCGCTCAATAAATCCACCTTGGTGACACGGCGTTTTGGATTTATTAAGCGGTGGCTTTATTAACCGGAGTCGGTTGTGCTTCTACGGAGAAATCCGAAAACAGCTCAAGTGGCCAGAATAAGTGGCTCAGGATTTATTATCCAAGGATTTATCAAGCGGATTCTACTGTATTGATAGAATTTCAGGCACACATAGAGTGGAAATAAGGCTTTTACTTTAAATCCAATATGCATCGCGCATTGGAAATGCATTGGATCAGGCATTGCTGAAGAAGGGTAGGAACTTTTTTGTACCTAACTAATCACCGCTTTGATTGAATTTCAGCCCTGTGGAGATGTCGATTTTTACCCCAACGGTGGTAAAAGCCAGCCGGGCTGCGGCGATTTTGAGGCCAACGTCGCCTCCCTCATCTACGATCTGGAGACAAACAACATCGACGGTAAACCATGGCAAACTCGTATCAATTATCATGTGTTATCAAAGCCTAGCTGACCGAAGCCGGTCGTTCACAAAATGGTATTTGCATCATGGTTGATTGACATCGAGGGCCAGAATGAAATTAAAGAAAATCGCTGAAAGAAACTCAACTAATATCAGACTAAATGCCATTAAAATAGATGCTAAACACGATTAATTCATTAAACTGATTTGCACGCATGTAATTAAAGTCAGTTTTTGTTTTGCAGAGATCGGTGGCATTTTCAACTGCCCACACGACAGATCCCACGAGCTCTTCATCGCCACCCTCACGGAGCACGAGTGTCCGTTCGTGAGTTTTCCGTGCAAGGATTACGCCGAGTACGAGTCGGGCGAGTGTCAGCGGTTGGACCGAGCCACCATCGGACGGATGGGGATGGACGCCGAGAAATACAACCTCAGCGGGAACTATTATCTGCAGACGACCGGCGACAATACCTCATTTTGCAGTGAGTTGTAACGGACATCAGGGTAAAAAACTAATTGAAATATGAACGGGTTTTTTAAAGGTATTATCAGGGTTTTTTCCGAAATTTCGGAGTTACTCAGTGAAACGTGTAGAAGAAGGTGGCTGAGGCCCCAATCCGAAGTCATTCGTCTCAAAATTGCCTAATTTCCAAATGGTGGGCCTCCAAAGTTGATCCGTCTGCCAGCCAGTACCTGGAGGAGGCAGTACCAAGTACTCGGATACATTTCCCTATAAGTCCATAGGCTTAACACTAGCTAGAGACTTCTAGAGATATTTTTTATGCCAGATAAGGCCGTCGCATACCAGATAAGGCCGCAACGGCCGTTCAACGTTACGTGGGGAAATGGGAGAAATCTAAAGACTTTTTTCTCTGACGTCTCCACTCCAATATCTCTAGCGCAACTGGCAAGCGTTGTTAGCATTGGCTCGTGTCGTCGTAAATAAGATTTGTTTGACGGATATTCCGTAAGTTGAGTGTGTTGTTGTAATTTCTGAGGCTGTATGAGTTGGACGGAATGGCGCCATCCCGCCATGTGCGAAATCTGTGCGAAACAAAGCTGTTCCTATTCATATTTGAATGTTCAAGACTTGTGGGCTTTGTAGCCAGTGCGTGTAGCTTCTAGATATCCTGTGGGTTATCAAAAATCAAAATAATTAAAAAATTATGTTGTGTGCTTTCAAACTAAGCTCATCCCGAGTGTAATTCAAGAATGTCTTAGTTCAAGCAATTAAACTTGAAAGTGATATAGCTCCAGCAATGAAGAAGCTTGGATGGAACGTTGAACCAAAGTTACCTATCATTTGTAATGTTAATGCTAAGTGCTGAACGTTACCAATAATTCGAGACATCCGTTGTAAGATGTATGACGCAGATCAACTTTGATCAAGTGAAGAAAATAGATTTCAGATGAAATAATGTCAATGTTCAAGGCTGAGCGACTGGCAGATTTCGGAGTGAGCACGAGTGGCCTTGAGACATTCTGTTTCTGTAGGTACTCAAAATAAATAAATTATCATGTTGTGTGCTTTGAGGTTAAGTGTTATCAGTGGTGCTTCATGGTTGTTCTTTGTTGTTGGTGTATGGGCATATTTTGAGCACATTGCAGCATGATATTGGTGGTGTGTAAAGCAACTGATCTCCGCAGACCTTGCACTTACTTGCAAAGCCTGCGGACTGACTTTGCAGACTGGCTGACAGTGAGCAATGCATTGCTGACTGATATCATTTATTCTGTGTTTGTAGCACAAAGTACAGAAGTGGCACATACATTGTTACTTTGAAAACCTTATGTGAATTTGATGTAGAAAATTGGTGGCTGACGTTGAGTCCTTACGTATTGTGAGTAGTGTACAGCTGGTGCATTGAGCACAGACTTGAGACCAGTGACGTTTGAATCAGTAGACTGTGTTTGAGTCTACTTATATGGGTAGTCATAAAGCAGGCGTCACACTTCTTTTTGCAACCAAGGAGAAGCGCTATACCCAGAGTTGCTTTGTCATCCAACCTTACCGAACCAAACCTAACCAAACCTAACCTTACCTACAGGGGTGTCGTTTTCCGAAAATGATTGGTAGTGCCCAAAGGCGGCGGCTGGCCATATATGACGGGGCTTACAAGGTAGGGTACCCCCAAATCTGCCTTTCTCATCGGATTTCGGCCACTTATTTTTCGCCCTGGTCATTGACAAGACTAACCGAAATCTAAAAAAAAAACACAAAAAAAAACTTTGGAAATCTGGGTCCACACCGGACGCCATGCACAAAACGTGCAGTTATATAGGCAATATAGTGTCGGAGGAATGCACGCCATTCTGAAAGAGGCCCACATCGACTTAAAAGGACGGCTGTGCTGAAAGGGGACAGGAACAGCTTTGAGGGCCCAAGCCGACTAAAAAAGACGGCTGCGGGGCCAGGAACGGTTTTGAAGACCCACGCCAATTGAAGGGTTCGACAACTAACGAGGACTGGAAACACAACGATAGTTAGAAAGACCTGCTTGCCAAAATAAAAGGATGACAGTACGAGGGGCGTTCAGAAAACTACGGGCCCGACCATGAAGGAGCAGAGAGATACAGCATCGACTCATTAGACCAAAAAGTTCATTTATTCAAATAAACACCGTTAAGACAAACACATTTCGCGCAGCGCTTCGCGAGAGCCCTCAAGGCCTCCATATCCAAGTGGGTTTTGGACCCATCCTGCACGTCCAAGACGGCTGATTTCGTCTCCCTGCTGTTAGCGAGGTTGCCGCTGCTAATTTTCTTATGTTGGGGAAGAGGTGGCAACCACTAACCAGAGTGTGCAAGGTTCGGAGAGAAAAAAGTGGATGCGACAACAACTCGAAGCTCATCGCTTCACTGTTCGTCATCCCGCCCATGTACGCAGGTGCGTGGTCGCGGATCAGGTGCACACTTTACGTCAGCTTCCCTATAGCCTCTCCTCGATGTTTATCGAATGGACGCACATCATCAATTGTGTGCCCCTGTTTTGGAAAGTTGACGAGCGGAGGGGAGTCGCATCGACCCCTCCCCCTGCCAGGCCGTGTTATGAAAAATGCCCAGGGCGAGGGTTAACGCTTGGTGCCTTTTCTGCACTAACTACTATGAAACGAATCACTGCTCTCTTCTGGGCGTCGCCCATCCTATCCGAAATGGCGAACTATGCTACGAATAGAAGCCCGAATCAATCACAGAAGAGACTTAATTAATGGCCACTTACTTAATTTGCGTAAGTGGACATCCCAATAACACATCATTTAACACACCGCCTTGCAGGCCAAAATTCCAACTCCTTCATTGTTCGGCCCGAAACTTTTTGAACGCCCCTCGTAGTTACGAGCTTCAGTTTTCGGGGTCTGATGCGGTAATGACCTGGCGTTGAACCTTGGGGAATCAGGCTGCATCACCCACTCAAATCAATATACCTATGGCCTATTCTGGAGCGCCGCGGCACCTTCCGAAGTCGGTGTAGGGCCTCCAGCGGCTGGTGTGGAGACGGATCGGGGTCTATTAGGGGCGGTCGCGTGGTATGCGGGACTCAGAGGCAGTTATGGACCTCTATAACCAATTGCGTTTTCGAGCCTCTTAAAATCCATTAAGGACCGGAGTCCTAGACACGTGAAACCTCATTGTCAGCTACATGCACCTACTGTGGCTAGAACCTTATTTATGTACTTACATATGTGCTTATTTAATATTTGCTTATCTGTTTATTTTGATTTTTTATCAACTGATAAGTGACAAAAGATTGGTAGGGCTCAGCGAACATTGGTAGGGCCCAAATAAACATTGGTAAGGCTCGGGCCCTACCAGGCCTATACAAAACGACGCCCCTGCATGGTGTGTCGTTTCGGGAACTAGCGACCCGCGGCCGGGCGCCGCGGAGACGTGCCCGTCATAGGGTTTTGGGGCTATTTTTTCACGTTTCGGTCTGAATCGTGAAAAGTACTGGTCGTAGCAAATATGTTCCCTGGTTTCTGAATTTTCAGCCCACGTGGAATGCGATAGGACAAAAGTCATTTTCGTACAGACAAAACTGTGCCCGCGTTTTTTGGTCAAAGTAAAAATGTTCAGCAGCTTTTAACACGTGGGCCGCCGCAAAACAGGGTACACCGGAGGACTTACGATTCAATATCTCCTAAGCCATCACAGATAGCAAATATGTTCCCTGGATCTATGTAGATAATACTTTAGAGAACACTTCAGGCCAAAAATTGCTTCTCGACAACTTACACCCAGCCCGCGTTTTTGGCTTAAATGCAATGCAACACGGCAGCCGACCTTGAGGGCTCGGTTAGCGAGTTCATTTTTTAGCGAGCACTTCGAGCATTTCAGCGTTCGATGAAATGACATATTTTTTCAACGCAGTCGTTTCTTCATTTGCATCTAAACGCGACCTATACGATAATGTGACTGTATCGTCACACTAAAAGGTGTAATTCATGGTAATTTATAGGACTAATTCTCGGCGCACAGCAGCAGACGGACACCGACTGACCCACCATCTAAAGGCAGTTAGGCGAAGCAGTATCGTGAATCACAGCCGCGAGATGTCCCTAGCGTAGAACACCGTCTGTTTGCCCAGTTTAAATACGTGCTGTTTGCCCTCTGTCAACCCCTGAGTCATGGGGCTGGGGTCGCGGATGAATGGGCGACCGCCCGCCGCGCGGGGAGGGGGCTGCTCCCCTGACCCGGACCGCCACGGCATGGGGACGGTCCCGCACTTGCGTGCCTCACGTCGCCGCCTCACACCGGTCTGAATTACGCTGGTTTTGAGGAACCGCCCATTGTGGTGGTGGGTGATCCAACGCAGACCATGCCAGAACCCCACTGAGGGGGTGTCACCCGTGTCAGCTGGCTCAGACCCACGATATCCCCATACCGAAAGCGACGTTCCAAAGAGCAATATGTCTTTAGTGGGTATTATTGATGTTTACCTACTTCGAGAATGTATGCATGCATGTAAGCACATACCTACATGATGTGTTAAAGTACCTACCTACTCCAACTGTACAACTTTGGCCTCTCAGCTCGAGAAATAAACTTTTTTACTTTAAAGACAGATTTTTAGTGACTTAACACTCGCACTTACATATAGCGGGGTCGAACGGACCCCTCCCGGTTTTTCGCGAATAATTCGCGCAAAAAGCGGCCGATCGCGACGAAACTTTCAGTACCCTCGATTTAATCAATTTTACACATACTCTTAAAATTTAATGACCCTGATCCCAATGACCTTTGACCTGTGGTCTGATTCTCGAGACCATGTTCGACCGGAATTGCGAATTGGCGTATGTCGGCTGAGGCTCACATTATCTGCGCAATTTCCAATCTTTTTTTTGGTGTGGGTTTCAAGGTCCCGTGAAGGTCAGGTCAAAGTCTTTGACCTTTGATGACCTTGCTTCACTATTTCGAGTTTTACATGTTTCTAGGGTAGTTTCTGGGGCTGATTTCGAATTCCCATTTGGAGATTTATGAAATA